TGGGACTTCTATCCCCTTAGTATAAATGGGCATAGCCAGTGCATGATGTGTCTGACCCGTAGGCCGGACGTTTGACAGCCCTGACCAACACTGTGCCTAGTCTAGAGAAAAGAAGGACTAGAGACGGCCTTGTGTCAGTATTCCAGTATTTGAGGGGCTGCCACAAAGCCCCTGAAGGCAGGACAAGAAGCAATGGATGGAAACTAATCAAGGAGAGAAGCAACCTGGAATTAAGGAGAAACTTTCTGATAGTGAGGAAAATTAACCAGTAGAAGAGCTTGCCTTCAGATATCGTGGGTGGGACCATCACTGGAGGATTTTAAGAAGAGACAGATTAACAGATCGTTGGAAGGGACCTTGTAGGTCATCTAGTCCAACCCCTCCACCCAAGCAGGAGACCCTACACCATTTCTGACAGGGCAGTCCAGTCTCTTCTTCAAAGCGTCCAGTGATGAAGCTCCCACAACTTCTGAAGGCAACTTTTATTCCCTGGCTGGATTTTTCTCCCTGTCAGACAATTTCTCTTTATTTCTAGGTTGAATCTCTCCTGGATCCGTTTCCATCCATTAGTCCTTGTCTGGCCTTCAGATGCCTTGGAAAATAGCTTGACCCCTTCCTCCTCTCTGTGGCAGCCCCTTCTCAAATATTGTCTGGCCACTTATCTGAAATGGTATAGATCTCCTGCTTGAGCAGGGGGCTGGACTAGAAGACCTCCAAGGCCCCTTCCAGCTCTATTCCGAATCTCATTCTATACCTGTGCATTTGGTTTTTTTCTTGCCTGAGTGCAAAACCTGTCTTTTCTCACCACTGAATTGCATTTTATTGGGAAAGGCCCAGTGTTCAAATCTATTTAAAGATCCTTCGGGATCTTGAGCTGTTCTTCTAAACTTAAAAGTATAGGCTGTTACCCCAGCTTCCTATCTTGCAAGAGGTTGGACCACAGGCAGTGATGTAATACAGAACGGTGAAATAACAGTCACATGCTTCCATAAACACATAAGGTGCAATTTTACAAGATTCATTCCTTCATTCCATTGAGCCAGGTAAACTTAATGAGAACAGAAGGACATTTTTGAAATTTATGAGGTCCTTTGGGTTTGGAAATCAATGATTCCTGAGGTTGATTAGAGCTTCTTATCATTGGTCTTTCAACTCTTAATCACTAATTTGAAAGCTCATTTCCTGTTTGGGCTGAAAAATCTCTCTGACCTTCTTCTCTTAACTGGGAAGTTAAGCAGGATTGGATCTGGTTCATACTCGGACGGGCAAAATCTGAAAATTTTTGAAAACGTATCGCAGAACGCCAGCTAGTCAGTTAGTTTACTTTATTGTCATTGCACCTCGTACAACGAAATCAAACACCATCTTCAGTGCACATCATGACCATGGAATAAACACAAACACACATCCTTCCTATTCTATACGATTAAATTGAAAACCCCTGATATTGCATTAATATTGCACTATATACAGTAGAATTCAGTAGAGTTACTGCCCTGGGATAGAAGCTGTTTTTCAGCCTATTTGTCCTTGTTTTTATTATCCGGTACCGTATGCCAGATGGTAACAGTTAAAAAAAAAGGGTGCCCAGGATGAGATCGATCTTTAAGGATGTTTTGAACTTTCTTAAGGCAGCGGGAGCTATAAAGCTCTTCCAAAGAGGGGAGAGGGCAACCCATGATCCTCTGAGCAATGACTTTAACCCTCTGGAGTGCTGTCCTATCTGCCCCTGTGCAATTGGCAAACCATACAGAGGTGCAGTATGTTAAAATGCTCTCTATGGTGCAGCGGTAGAAGGTCACTAGCAGTTTTTCATTCAGTTATTGTTTCCTGAGAAACCTGGAGGAGATGGGTGAAGGGAAGGATGGGAGGATTAATAGTAATAGTAACGCAGACTTAGTAAATAGTTTGACAGGGTTGAGGGAATTATTTGTTTAGCAGAGTGATGGTGTTCGCGAAAAAGCTGCCCTTGCGTCTAGTTCTCATCCAAGTCTTTAACTTCTACCTTATTTGAAAAAATCACCAATCATGGGCAGAGCCCCCTCTTTCTGGCACAAGGCCTTAACTAATAGAATATTTGGACCTCTGCTAGATGGGGGATTCTGGGAATTGAAGTGCACACATGTTAAAGTTCCCGAGGCTGAAAAAATACCAGTTTAATGTTTTTAAGGATGCTTAAAGTCGATAGCCTTGAGAGTTGCAACCTCTGTTATTTTGTGGTGACCTCACCCTTCCTGTGGCACAGCTGCCTGTTGACGGGTAGCTCTGCCACAAAGTCGGGCGCCATTGTTTTTGTTGCATCTTTGAAATATCAGAGGACGCCTCTCCATGTTGTGCCTTTGGTCACAAAAGCAATGTGAGCAGATTGGAGGGGCCCCAAGGAGAGGAAAGAAATCTGGGAGTTTCGGTTGGTATTTTCCCTGCATGTGCCACGTGTAGTGGATCACAAAAGGGAATCCCGCCCCCCCTCCAAAACAGGATCCAAGTCAGGAGGAAATCAAGACTGGACAGGGCGGGAGAAAAATTCCTAACCAGTGACGAATTGGGGGAAGGTGGGTGGGACAGGGTTATAGGGAAGAAAGGTTGGGCGACAAAGGGGAAAAGCGAAATATTAATCCAGGCATAAGCTGTCAGATACAGTAAACATCTTTTACAATTTTACAATTCCAGCTCTATTCTGATTGATGGATTGATTCTTTTCTCTCTATCTTTTTCTGGTGGAACTTTTAAATCTTTTCCATATGCCAGCTTGAATCATTCAGGACCGGGCAGTCTCATTTACTGGATCGATAATTATAATAATGTACATGTTTCATTGATTGAAATAGACTCCAGTCCCATCCGTCCGTCCGTCCCCACTTTCTGGCAGTCTTGTCTAATTGCCCTGCTGTGCATTATAGATATTGTAACTCCTAACCAAGAGGCAGATTCATGCTGCAATAAAATGGCAAGCCTTAAAGATGCCGCAAGATTGTTGCTACAACCAGGGTTTAGGTACTTCTGCATAAATATTGGCAATATTTTGGAGTTAAGCTTCAAGTGAGTTGCAAAAATTTACTCTTGAGTAAGTACACGTTTTGCACCAATGCAAGGTGCTTGCAAGCAAATTGAGTCCACAGATGCTTCTTTATTTTTGGAAAATAAGTTGCATAGGAAATCACCGTCCATTAATTAAATTAATCAAATTATTTTTTTTAAGTAAGCCTATCATAGCCATTGAACAAACAAACAAACAAATAAATACATAAAGTTAGGGCCTTGCAACGGATAGGGCTTTAATTTTGGCTGGAAAAAAATTGCCTTGCTGCCAACTGAAAATCGCCAAGTCTGCTTTTCGAAATAACGCGCAAAATTGTTCCAAGGGACGGAAGGGAAGCTTAAAATGCAGCCTGTCCCTTTAAATTCATCTCTATTTTTGTGTGTGTGTTTGTGTGTGTGAAGCGCTTCTCTGGCTTCGGTTTTTTTGGGGGTGGGGTGTCTGTGTGTAACATCTCGCGAGACTTCCCTTTTCCAATCCTCGCGGCCGGGCGGTTTTTTTTTCAATTTGTGGCGCGCGCCTTGAACTCCGCGAGGAAGGAACAGGCGAGTCGTCCCTGATTCGGGGGTGGAGGTGCTCAGCCGAACTTGCTGGCGGGGGTGGGTGGAGGGAAGGCGGGAGCTGGAGGCGTTCCGTGAAGGAAAAGCGGCGTATGGGCGTCCGGCCTTCGCGAGCGCGCGGCCAATCGGAGGGCGAGGAGCGGGGAAAGGGGCGGAGCGCAAGCCGAAAGACGAGGCGGGGAAGAAGTGGAAAAAAAAAAAAAACAGCCCAGCCAGGTGGGTTCGGTTGAGCGGTCGCGCTGAGGGGGTCGTCGAGCGGCTCCGAGGGGGCAACGGCCGACGAGGTGGGGAAGGGGAGCCCCTCAAACGGGCCGCTTTGGGAGCGAGGAATGGGAGGGCCGAGCCGGAGAAAGCAGGGTTGGGAGCCGCCGGGGAAGACTGGGCTTCATTTGAGGGGGGGGACCTCTTTGTGTGGGTTCATGAAGTGGGACGAGCTGGAATTTGGGGGGGGGGGGGGCCC